TATATATATATATATATATATATATATATATATATATCCTCAATATAGAGATCACCTTAATGACATGGATGAAGTAAGAATTTAGGGACCTTTATTTGCTGATGTAGCATGACTCAAAATGAGAAGAAATAGCCACAAACATCTATTAATAATGGGAACATATAGTGGATGAAATATATAGATCTAGAAAAATGACAACTCATAAGAAATTAAATGGAACACATAATGATCAATGTCTTCAGCATCAATGTGCTGAAATGGACTGGCATTGGCCATTTTAAATTGGAAAATCACATGGTACTATGCTAGGAATAAGGAGCTCTGGTGGCATAGTGCCTAAGGCATTTGACTGCTAACCAGAAGGCTGGCAGTTCAAATCCACCAGGCTATACTCAGAAGGAAGATGGGGCAATCTACTTCCATAGTGATACCACCTTGGAAACCCAAGGAGGGGTCGCTATGAGTTGGATCCAACTCAATGGCAGTGAGTTTTGGTTGGATGCTAGAAATGAAGAAATGAAGAGTAATTGTGTCGCATTCATCATCAAAAAGTACATTTCAAGATACATCTTAAAAGTACAAAACTGTCAGTGAGAGGATAATATGCATACTCCAACAATGAAGACAAATTAGAATGAAAATTATTCAAATTTATGCACTAACAACTATTGCCACAGATGAAGAAATTGAAGATTTTTACCAACTTCTATAGTCTGAAATTGATCAAACATGAAAAAGATGCATTGATAAATACTAGTAATTGGAATGTGAAAGAGAGTAACAAAGAAGGAGCAGTTGCCAAAAAATATGGCCTTGATGATAGAAATGACACCAGATGTCACATGATAGAATTTAACAAGATAAAATAACTCATCATTGGAAATACTTTTTTTCATCAACAAGAATGGCAACTGTTGTTGTTATGTGCCGTGGAGTTGGACCTGACTCATAGCAACTCCTCCTTGGGTTTCTGAGGCAGTACCACTACAGAAGTAGATTGCTCAACCTTCTTTCTGAGGAATGGCTGGTGGGTTTGAACCACCAGCCTTCTGGTTAGCAGTTAAGTGTCTTAGGCACTACGCTACCAGAGCTCCCAAGAATGGCTACTATACACATGAAAAGAAAAAAATAGTATGTCAGCAGAGACTCTGAAACTTATTCTTGAATGTAGAACTATCTAAAGTAAATGGAAGAAATGGTGAAGAAAAGAGCTCAACACATTTCAAAAGGCATCTTAATAGAACAAAGTAGAGTATTATATGAAATGTCCAAAAACTGGAGCAAGAAAACTAAAAGAGAAGAGCACACTTGGATTTTCTCTAACAGAAAGAACTGAAGAAAAATTCAACCCTTGTGTTGCTATAGTTGAAGGATTCTGTGAGCAAAATATTGAACAATTAAGGAAGCATCAAAAGAAGATGAAAGTAATTCACAGTCACAATACTGGAAAAAAAAATGTTCCTATCAAGAGGTAGCATATGATTGTAAATACATGGTACTGAAGGGATAAGTCCAAGTTGCACTTAATGTGTTAGTGAAAACAAGTCTCCAGGAATTGACTAAATGCCAGTTGGGATGTCTCAACAAATGAATGCAATGCTGGAAGCACTCAGTCATCTATGCCAAGAAATAGGGAAGAAAGCTACCTGGCCCATTGACTGAAAGTGATCTATAATCGTGCCCAGTTGAAGGACAATGACCCAAAAGAATGGGGAAATTATTGAACCATACCATTCACTTCATATGCAATTAATATTTAGATTAAAGTAATTCAAATCCAGTTGCAGCTGGACATACAGGGCCTAGCCAGAAAATCACACAGAATTCAGAAGACAGCATGGAAGGAAGAATATCATTGCAGATGCCAAATGGACCCTGGCTGAAAGCAGTGAATACCAGATGAGATGTTTACCTGTGTTTTATTGACTATGCAAAGGCATGTGATTGTGTAGATCATAACATTACAGATAACATTGCAAAGAATGGGAATTCCAGAACACTTCATTGTGCTCATGAGGAACCTGTACTTAGACCAAGAAGCAGTCATTTGAAAAGAACAAGAGTATACTGTTGTTGTTGTTAGGTGCTGTGGAGTCATCCCTGACTCATAGCGACCCTATGCACAGCAGAACAAAACACCGCCCGGTCCTGCACCAGTTCCATGATCCTTGAGCCCATTGACCCCACCACTGTGTCAATCCATCGCGTTGAGGGTCTTCCCCTCTTTTGTCAACCCTGCACCTTACCAAGTATGACATCCTTCTCCAGGGAATGGTCCTTTCTGACAACATGACCAAAGTAGGTGAGATGAAGTCTGGCCATTTTACATGGTTTGAAATCAAGAAAAGTGTATGTCAGGGTTGTGTCCACTCTCCATATTTATGCAATCTGTATGCTGAACAAATAATCCCAGAAGCTGAACTATATGAAGGAGAATGTAGAATCAGGATTGGTGGAAGACTCATTAACAACCTGTGATATGTAGATGACACAGTCTTGCTTGCTGAGAGTGAAGAAGACTTGAAGCACATACTGATGAAGATATAAGACTGCAGCCTTCCCTATGGATTACACCTCAACATAAAGAACATAGAATTCCTCACAACTGGACCAATAAGCAAAATTGCAAGACATGGGGAAAAGTTAATAATCGCCAAGGATCTCAGTTTATTTGGATTCACAACTGATGTCCATTGAAGCAGCACTCATGAATCAAGCAATATTTTGCTCTGGGAAAATCTGCTACAAAAGATTTAGAGTGTTAAAAAGGAGAGATATCACTTTGGGGACTTAAGTGTGCCTGACTCAAGCCATGGTATTTTAAATCACCTCAGATACATGTAAAAGCTGAATGATGAATAAGGTGGTCCAAAGAAAAATTGATACATTTGAATATGGTATAGGTGAAGAATATTGAAAATACCATGGGCAGTCAGAAGATGAACAAGTCTATTCTGAAAGAAGTACAGCCAGAAACCCCTCAGAAGAAAGGATAGCAAAGCTTTATCTCTCGTAATTTGGACATGTTGTTGAGAAAAACCCATCCCTGGGGAAAGACATTGTAGAAGGTCTGTGTAGCTTGTCAGCTAGAAGTTCCCTTGCCTGTACATAGAGTCAGTTCTTTCATATTTTCCCATTGTGAGCTCTGATCACATTGTCATTTTCAGCATTAGCTCAGGAGTAAAACCTTTGACAAAGCAGTCATCTTTGAAAGAAAGTTTAATTTGACTGCTAACCAGAAGGCTAGTGGTTCAAACCTACCAACCACTCCTCAGAAGGAAGGTTGGGCAATCTACTTCCATAGTTATACCACCTCCGAAACCCAAGGAAGGGTCGCTATGAGTCGGATTAGACTCCACAGTAGTGAGTTTGGGTTTTTTTTTTTTTTTTTTTTTTAGTCCTTGCCTTGCCTGAACATTAAAACCGCAAATGTTTCATTAAAAATCTTACATTCAAGCCACGTGCCATTCTAATTCAATGTAAATCTGTAGTGGTGAGACAAAGACATCAATTTTTGGAAACTTCCTAGATGAGTCCAATATGAAGTCAAAGTTCAGGGCTGGTTACGTACATCCTAATACATAGCCTGTATATACCAGTCTGTTAGATACAAAATTAGTCAGGGTAATATATAAGGATGATGATAAGGATGAATATTGTAAGTACATAAAAATGGAACTGTGCATTTTATCAGGAAGCTTAGGGCTTAGTTGAGAATATATAAAAGGTTCCACAGTTATAACAGGATTTAACCACACAGATTGACATATCCCAGAATATTCCCACTCCCCCATTAAAGATGTCACAAAGGGAGCCATGTTCAGTTATGAAAACCCAAGATTGCAACACTTGAAAGCCACAAAAATCATGTAACCAAACGGCAAAATTTCTGCTTGATGATATTGGGTTTTGTCATCTTTTCCAACCCGCACATCGGAAAAGATGACACAAGGGTTGAGATCAGGCTGTTCTGCTCAGGAGCTTCGACAGCACTCTCTTGATGTCCCTGTTCCTCAGGGTGTAGATGAAGGGGTTCAACATGGGGGTGACCACGGTGTACATCACTGATGTCACTGCATCCTTTCGGGCAGAAGATGACACAGCTGAACTGAGGTGCACTCCAAGGCCTGTTCCATAAAATAAGCAAACAACTGACAAGTGAGAGCCACAGGATGAAAAGGCTTTATGTTTCCCACCTGAAGATGAGATTCTCAGAATGGAGGAAACGATTCGCATATAAGAGAAAAGGATCCCTGAGACTGGAATACCACCGTAGATGGCAACAATACAATATACTAAGATGTCAATGTTGAAAGTGTCAGAACAGGCAAGTTTAAAGAGTTGAGGAGAGTCACAGAAGAAACTAGGAATTTCCACTTCTTTGCAAAATGTTATCTGTGACACAAAGGACAGTTGTAGCTGGGAGTACAAAAGGCTGAAAAAAAAAGATACCAAAACTAGCAAGCCACAGCGGCGGGGGTTCATGATGACTGTGTAGTGAAGAGGGTAACAGATGGCCACAAGCCGGTCATAAGCCATCACAGTCAATAAGAGACTATCCAGACATGCAAAGAGATAAAAAAATGAAACCTGTGTCAGGCAACCCACATAAATGATGGATTTGCTTTCTGTCTGGATGTTCACCAGCATCTTGGGGACTGTGGTAGAAGTGACACCAATGTCAGCCAAGGACAGGATGGAGAGGAAGAAGTACATGGGAGTGTGGAGGTGATGGTCAGAGCTGATGGTCAGGATGATTAGGAGGTTCCCAGCCACTGTGATCAGGTACATGGACAGGAACAGCCCAAAGAGGAGGGGCTGCAGTTCTGGATCCTCAGAAAGGCCCAGGAGGAGGAATTCTGAGACACCTGTTAGATTCTGTGGCTCCATGTGCCTGAGATTTTGGACAAAGAAAAGAGAATTGATAAGAGGAAATAAATTAGCAGGCTATCTACACAATGTCTGCATTTTGACTTCAAGAAATTCCTAATTAAACCATGTAAACACACTAGTATTCACACATGAGGACCTAATACCTCAGGATCTTCAGCAATTTCACTACTAAGTCATATTGAACCCTGGCACTGTACTTCTCTGAACTCATTCCTCATTGTTTCTGTGCTGTTCACAATTTCTGTACACATTCAGTTTAGAGACATTGGGATACAGAATGTTAGAATGGAAAAGACATTCTAACAAATCCATAGAAGAAGAAGCATAGCAGACCTCTTTATGAAGGAAACATATGCAATAAGAAATACCCTTCTTCTAAGAGGAAAATCATTTCAATTAAAGGACACTAAACATCACTTGCAGTCCCTGGGTAGGAAAATGGTTAATCCACTTGGCTGCTAAACAAAAGGAGCCAGAGTGCACCCAGAGGTGCATTGAAAGAAGGGTCTCCTAATCTACTTCCAAAAAAGCAGTCATTGCAAACCCCATGAAGGAAACGTCTACTATGACTCACACTTTATTTTAGTTATTTATTTTATTTAGCAGAGGGATAATACCCTTGATTTGGAAAATTTATAAAACAACCAAGAAAGGGATAGAACCACATTTTAAAAATTAAAAATACAAACACAAAAAAATACAGAAGACCACAATAAGTACAGGGTCTTAGCCTAGAAAGACCAGGTAAATGAAAAGGCAGTGTGGGAGGTCAGGGATGTATAGGGCTATGTGTCTTGTGTCTGGTGTCACACTACTCAGATTAATATCTGGCTTCAAACTCTTCTGGTGATGACCTGGTAGAAGTTACAAAATAGTTGTTCCTTGTCTCTTCTGTGACATGACAGTACAGTGGGTTTCTTTTTTCTGGGTGAGGTCGTGCAGAGAAAGGGAACAAGTTACAGAAAAAAATTACTCACATCATACTCTCAAAACCAAAAAAAAAACCTCACTGCAGTCAAATGGATTCAACTCATAGCAACCCCTCCTTGGGTTTCCGAGGCAATATCTCTATGGAAGTAGATTGCCTGATCTTTCTTCCAAAGAATGGCTGGTGGGTTTGAACTGCCAGCCTTCTGGTGAGCAGTGCTCTGGACAGCCTTAAATAGGCATTCATGATATTGTGGTTACAGTCACCAAACTTATCATTATCATTATCATTATCATCACTTACTAGATTGATTTCCCCCACACAAGGTGACTTTTTGCGGTTTGGGGGAAGGTGAGAGGGATCTATTTCCTGCTCTGGTGAGGAAATGCATACAGGATCTAGAATCAATGTAAAAGAAATAAAAACTCTAAATGAACTTTCCTGGGCCTCTACCTGGACTAGAAATGGAAACATTATGTGCCTCTGAGCGGAAATTTAAGGAGCTCTAGTAGTATAGGGGTAAGGTATTTGGTTGCTAACCAGAACGTCAGTGGTTCAAACCCACCTACTGTTCTCTGGGAGAAGATGAGGCTATCTACTTCCCTAAAAATTGACAGCATTGGAAATCCAATGAGGGTCGCTATGAGTCAGAATTGACTTGATGGCAGTGGGTTTTGTTTTGGTTTGGAGCTGAAAATTTGCACTTCACAGTGCCCCCACTGGCCATCTTAAGTGTTCAGCTTGTCCAGAAAAAGAGGAAACAATGCTCCCATTATCCCCTCAGAGTAGACTGTCTCCCACCACACTCACTGTTTTGCGATGGATGTCTGCTACTGCATGAGCAAGTACAGAGTGTCTACCTGGTATGTAGGCAATGAGGGCTGAGGCTCCTTCCCCAGACCTAGCAGGAAGATAGATTCAGACATGTGCTTCCTGGAGAAGATGACCACTCTAGATGAGGGCACAGGTTTGGAGCTAGCTGGACTGGGACGGGCAAATTGAAGGCCTGGAAGACATAAGCAGGTTATTTACAGTACTACGGCTTTGAGAGCTAAATGCCCAGGGCTCACAATTAAACAAATTGGTCATAATATTCCAATCTCTGTGGGCTAGTTAATATTAATGAAAAAGGATGAGAAGATAATGAATGTTCCTGGCATCTGGGCCATCCCATTCTAAGACGGAATTCTGTATATATTTCTAATTTCTAACTTCCAAGTTGTACAGATCGTAAAATAAAAATCAGATACTTTTCCAGTTTTTTCAATGAAAAAAAAAAACATTGTATGATTATGTATTCCCATGACCATTGAACTATGCACATATTTTAAGAAGAACACTGTACCAGCATTAGAGGAAGACCCATTAACAACTTGTGATACATAGATAACATACACTTTCTTGCTGAAAACTCATTTTCTGTATTGATTTTTTTAAAATATCCTAAATTTTTAAATATCATGTTGTATATCTTATTAATTATTAAATATCATGTTGTATATCATATTAAAGCAGCTCTGGTGTTGCCTAAGACATACGACTGCTAACAAGAAGGCTGTGGTTCAAATCCAGCAGCCAGTCCTCAGAAGGAAGGTTGGGAAATCTACTTCCATAGCGGTACTGCCGCAGAATCCCAAGTAGGGGTTGCTGTGAGTTTGGATCAACTTGACAGCAGTGAGTATATATATATATATATATATATATATATATATATATATATATCATATTAAATGAAAAAAATAAAAATGCTCCACAGAAAATTCATGACATAGACACATACAAGTCCTATTTTACCCTACTTATTTACACAGGTAGTGATACTCCATTCAGTAGGCAACTAGTAAATATTTAAACTGCTAACTCAACTTACCATATATCTTCCATGGTGACTCAAGCTGGAGAGCTTGGAAAAGTACAACTTAGTCTCATTCATCTCTCTGGTTCTCCTGGAAATCCCAAAAAGGATGAAAGCACAAGCAGGAAGGAACTCAGGTATTGCACAGATCTTGATATGAAATTCACACAATTTTCTTCTTGTAAAGGATAAGAGTAATACCAATATCAGCAAACACAGGAAATTAATCAAGTAATTTAGAAATAACTCATTTAAGATTTGTGTCTTTATTGAGAAGATCCTACTTTCCTTCCTATAGCCTTTGCTTGGTATTTGGGATATAGTACAATGGGAATTTGTCCTTCTTGATCATTTGAATGGCACCACCATTTCCAAATTTTCCCTTTAATTGATATGTGTTGGTATATTAGAAAACAAGAGATTGTTGCATACTTGTTTGGTAACTTGATACTTTGTCTACTTCAGGGATCTTCACTAGGCTGTGATTAATGTGTTACCCAGGGCTGCAGGCATCTCAAGGCTTGGCTGGGACAGGATTCATTTCCAAAATCACCTATGTAACTGTAACAGGATTCAATCACTCTCAAGTGATTTACCAGAAGTGTCCTTCAGCGTCTAGCCACATGGACTTCTCCATGAAGCAACTCACAACACAGCAGTTGGCTGGATTCAAAGAGAGTCAGTAGTAGATGAACAAATATCAGCAACATGAAAGTCAGTGTCTTTCTGAACCCTAAACTTGAAGGTGGCATTGCCTTACTTTTGCCCTATTTTATCATTTCAAGCAAGTGACCTGGTCCTGACCATACACACGGGGAGGGGATTGCACAGGAACATGAAAACCATTAGTTGTGTGTCACTAGGAGAGTCATAGATGGTACTCCATCAGGTTATTGGGCTCCAAGTCATAACCATAACATTCCATACCCTCAATAAAAGTTCCCTGTGGAACAATTGGCAGATGAACAGATTTACCTCTGCATTAGATACTTCTGCACACTCTGCAATGCTACTCTCAGCTATGTAGACATGATAGGTCTTCTTGGCTTATCTTATGTGGACATACTTCTGAGATAATGGGGCTAAGTTCCACACCACCACACTTAAGTACAAATTGCAATAAAGTGAGTCACAAAAGTATTTTGGTTTCCCAGTGTATGTAAAAATTATGTTTACATCATAGTATAGTCTACTAAGTGTGCAATAGCAATATGTAAAAGTTTGGAATATTGTGAGAATTGCCAAAATGTGACCCAGAGACATGAAGTGAGCATAAACTGTTGTAAAAATAGTACCAATAGATTCAATAGACACAGGGTTGCCACAAACATTCAATTTGTAAAAAAGGCAATATCTGTGAAGCACAATAGAGAAAAACAATAAAATCAGGTATACTTCTACCAACAGAGACCCTCTATTGACATCATGCTGTGCTACAGTCATTGTGTGCCATAATTCAAGAAATATTACCAACAACTTTGATTTTGGCTGAAGTGGAAAGGATTCACTTCACTGCAGGACGTAATTTTCCTCAGATTTCTTTGTATCCAGAACTCTTGAAGTCTTTAATAAAATGTGCTTTTGGACTCTCATGGTTTTTTTTTTTCTTCCTATTTGATAATGGGCAGGGATCCAGGTAAGGGGAGAGATGCAGGTCCCACCCCCAAGAGGCAGGAAACTGAGGAAAGAAAAGCCAGGGGACAACAGACTGAGCAGCAGGATCCAGGTAAGGGGAGAACAGAGAGGTTTCAAATAACTAAAGAAGCAAACTTGTCTGTCACTTTGTCATACTGTGGTGGCTTGTGTGTTGCTGTGAGGCTTGAGGCTGTGCTACCAGTGTTTCAAATGTGAATAGGATTGCACATCATGCACAGATTTGAACACAGCTTACAGACTGAGACAGACCAGAAAGAAGGAAGAAGCCATTCACTTCTCAAATAACTGGACAGGGAAAGCTTTATGGATAGCAGAGAAGCACTGTCTGATATATCACCACACAACTTTATGAATAGCCCAGAAACATTGACCAATGCACTGTAGGAAGATGAGCCCCTTTGGTTGGAAGTCTCTCAAAATGTAATGGGTAAAGAGCTGCCTCATTAGAGTAGAATGAATCTTAATGATACAGTAAAGCTTTCAAGACCTTCATTTGCTAACTTGGCAAGACTCAAATTGACAAAAAACCGCTGCAAACATCCATTAATAATTGAACAT